GGCGTGTGGGCGGGGCGGGAGCTGCGGCCGGTCTTTACATTTAAAATTCAGTTTATGTGCAGCTACCCCGAAAGTAAGACCTAGCGGATTTCTGTAATATAAGACCTACCACAGAACTAGGTCTTACTTTCGGGGTAGGTCTTATATTACAGAAATCCCTGAAGATAGCGTTAGGTCTTACTTTCGGGGAAACACGGGCAACATAAGGTTGGGCCAGAGTTCTCTTTTAAGACTACCATGCTGTCAAATTTTACCCTCGGCTAAGCACGAGGGTATTTTGACCGTTTGCCACATAAACTTTGACGGATATAGAAGTTACAGAATTGGTTCAGGGGTCTAGGATCCTCATTTTGCCCACTATGATCTTCCTCTGAATGGGAATGAGGCTTTGGTCCAGAACAGGGAAAGTCAAATGCCTAAAAGTGGCCATACACTGACCGAATTTCGGCTGGTTTTTAATGCACCGGACGAAATTCGGCTCACAAGTCTCTGCTTTACCATACTGTTTGTGCGACTACATTGGAGGAAGAGGCGACAGAACAGATACAGAAGCAGGGTTGGTAGTGATGGGGAAAGGTCAGGGGTAAGAGCGAAGGGTGCTGCCAGAGATAGAGTGGATGGGAGAGGCATGCCAAGGGGGGATCAGGAGAAGCGTGATTGGAAACACTGGGAGAGGGATAGGGGTAAAGCTGGCCATACACTGCTTGTGGGTGGCCCTGCCGTCCCCACCCGGCTGGACAAACCTCAAATGAATGGAGCCGGGTGGAAAACACCAACTTTATCTTCTGAAAGCTGGAGCCCAAGAAGATAGAATTAGACAGCAGGAGGGGTGCACAAAAGAAGGGAGAGAGAGAGGACCGGGAGAGGAGAGAGAGAGAGAGGATCGGGAGAGAAGAGAGAGAGAGGATCGGGAGAGAAGAGAGAGAGAGAGAGTGAGGAGGGAGAGAGAAGGGGGGAGGGTGCCAGCAGGAAGAAGAGACGTTGCAGAAACAGTGGGAAAAGTGAAGGAAGAGGGGAGGACTAAGAAGCTTAAAGTGGATGAGTTGCATTCCTAGACTACTTAGTATGATTCACAGCTCACATGAGGAGCAATGAGTAATACGTGCAGCAAGCAACCAAAAGTCAGACCACATACTGATCATGTGACCCCCCCTAGAAAAGAGTTGCCTAATATAAAGTACACATATATCTATTCCGTACACCTCGGAGTGTGCCATGCGGTCTGATGACAGGAAGCTGCCAAGCCCGGAATGTAAAGCCTCTGAAGGCCTCCATTCCTCATCCAGGCACACAATGACCACCGTCAATGCTCCATGAAATACTTCACGCGGCATTTATAGAACATTGCGTCTATATCCTCTGGGTCACTCATTGCTCAGAGGACACACCAGTAGGGGGCGCACCTTTCAGCTTTCGCATCTCCTCCTGCAGCTCCGGGCCGGCGTAGCGGAAGATGCTATCAGACACCGGGTTCTTGTCGGTGAGGGTCTCGTTGCTGGTGTTTACCACGGCTGTGCAGTTCAGCAAGGCCACGTCGCCCTTCCTGGAACAGAGAGATAACCAGTGGATCATCTATACAACGAGTCATGCGTGTGAAGACTTCTGCGTCACGGGAATGCTGGGAGAAATATGGCCGCTGCCACTGCTGACACCTACTTCAAAACTCAACTGGCTGGCGTGCTCGAGGACGGGACTTTTCTGCACCCCGGTGGTGGAGAAAATACTAAAGAGCCCATTTATAAATCTGCGCAGCATAAGCTGGGTGAACGCGGTTCGCATGGCATAGCTGCCACTGGACCCTAGATTTCCGATGCTCTTCAGCTCCATCTAGTATCAGGAATGTCAGCCAGCATACGGCTGGGCAAAATATCTCTAAATCGGCTCCTTAAGGCAGGCAACTAGCATGTTCAGGTGATAAAAATGAAATCTAGAGCTGCAGCTAACGATTATTTTCAAAATCGATTAGTTAGCCGATTATTAAGTTCGATTAATCGGTTAATTGGATAACACCTAAAATAAAATAAATTTTTAAAAATGGCTCCAGTGATGGGACTACTAGTTTGTATTGAGATCGTAGTCCGTGAGGTGGGGAGGAGGTGCGGTGTGTGGAGCGTGGATGCGGGCGGGCAGGTCTGGCAGGTGGAGGGGCGGTGCGCAGCGTGTGTGGAGCCGTGAACAGGGCCAACTAATCGGAAGCCGATTAAATCGATGATTGAAAAAGTTGACAACTTTTTCAATTATCGATCATGTCGATTAGTTGTTGCAGTCCTAATGAAATCCTCCAGAGCCCACCCAGTAGTTTTCCTGTATACTCTGCTGCAATGAGCATGGCCCCCCCCATACTCCATAACCAAAGAGACGGGTGTTCTGTCAGAATCCAGGACCTGTGAGAAATCTGAACCACGTCACTTCCAGTGGTGCGGTCTCAGCAGTTGCAGGCAGCGCCGGCTGAACACCCAACTGCTCGTTGTGCCTCCGCGCTATCAGCCGAAGCCGCCTGCAACTTCTGAGACCGCACCACTGGGAGTGACCCGGTCCAGATTTCGAACGCAGTCCAGCACACCGATGGAACCCCCGGCCATACTCAGATGAGTGACATGGAATTATATTGTTCCAGACGAAGAACACAAAAGGATGACCACAAGAGATTTCCAACACTAAGCCCCTTGTGATGAAACAGAGTCTCAGCGGATCCTTTGTGTTCTTTGTCTAGAACAATAAAGTTTTCATGCTGACGTTAGCCGATCTCTGACCGTGGATACACAGGGAGCACCGGCCTCCATAGACGTGGGCAGTTTTGGGGCTTGGGGGCTGCAGCCCCTTCTTTCAGGTGCCACCTACTCCAAGTTGCTGATCTCAACTTGCCATTAAAAATGCCGAGCTAATACGACGGCCCCGTTTATCAAATCTGCTGCTAAGGTGATATCTTATCTCCTACTCATCCCGCCAGTAGGGACTCCTCCATTGCAGTATGTCTGCGGAGGTTCTCATTCCTCCAGGTCATGGCATAGCTATATAAAAGAAAAAAATGAATCAAGGCAATTGGATTTGCTGTATTCTTCTTGAAGACGTTGCGCTGGTCATCCGACCAGCTTTCTCAATGGACCATTTCAGTCTGAATGGAGAAAGCTGGTCGGATGACCGGCGAGACGTCTTCAGGAAAAACACACAAAGTCCAGTTGCTTTGGTTTATTTTTTTTTACAGATATGCCCATTGCAGTGAACAGAGTTGGCAGTGCCCATGTGTAGGAGGCACAGGCCCCCCGACGGGAGAAGATTTTCAGGAGGTGAACATTTGGAAAAGCATTGAGGCCTACTATGGTTAAGAGCATAAAATAATAACATTTGTATTGAAGACCTACCAGGCAGGGGCATCCCGAGGCTGGGTGACACCCGGAGCGGTTACCGGGTGTCAGCCCGTCCACTCGCCGAGACGTCATAGCGCACGTGCGCCAATCTTCCGATACCCGCCGAAAGGCCGTCTTGGTGATGGACGCCGGCAGAGAGAGGAGGGGACAGTCACCCGGAGGGATAAGGTATACCGACGGGTCCCCTCCTCTCTCTTCTGATACTGTCGGGCGTTCGGTCCATGACCGAGCGCCCGACTTTTCAGAGGGGGGTGACACCAAAAATGACTGTCAAGTCATTTTGGTGTCACCCCTCCAATGGTGTCACCCGGGTTGTGGGCCGCACCCCCCTTGTGACTCCACTGCTACCAGGTATGTTATATATTTCATTGATGGGTTCCAAATGGATAGTAAGGTAGCTTATATACCAGTGGTGGCGAAACCTTGGCACTCCAGCTGTGCCAAAACTACAAATCCCAACATGCATCTGCCTCTGGGAGTTATGTCTGTCGGAGCCTTGCAATGCCTCATGGGACTTGTAGTTCCAAAACAGCCGGAGTGCCAAGGTTCGCCACCACTGTTATATACCTTCCAGTTTCCCCCATAGCTGGTCACCCCTGACCCCTGACCCCTGACCAGTACTCACCATAATATCACCTTGTGATTGAGGTCCTCTCGGAGGGTGAACGGTGATCGGACAACGCCGTCTGCGGTGTCCTCGTGGCACAAAGAGGAATCGGGAACATCGATCCCATCCGGCTGGTGCGCCCAGGACGTCAAGGCGTCCACATCTACGAAACAGGAGCGGGCACCCAGAGGATCCATGGGTTGGCAGAGACCGGGGCCTGCATGGAGTCACCTCTGCAATACCTGGCGGAAATCCAAAATAAAATGTCAACAATGAATGTAGAGATTTCCATTATAGGGGATCACTGAAACCCCGGCGGCAGCACAATGTAGACACACGGGGGCCCCAGCAGCAGCACAACGTAGACACACGGGGGCCCCAGCAGCAGCACAACGTAGACACACGGGGGCCCCAGCAGCACAACGTAGACACACGGGGGCCCCAGCAGCAGCACAACGTAGACACAGGGGGGCCCCAGCAGCACAACGTAGACACAGGGGGGCCCCAGCAGCAGCACAATGTAGACACAGGGGGGGGGGCCCCAGCAGCAGCACAATGTAGACACAGGGGGGCCCCAGCAGCAGCACAATGTAGACACAGGGGGGCCCCAGCAGCAGCACAACATAGACACACGGGGGCCCCAACAAGGACATTACAATCATGTATACAAATCTAAGTCAGAGGAAGGCAATCCTGGAGAGGCGGAAATCTACCGGAACATCATGGAAGAGATCAAACATAACCTAGCAAGGCCCCGCTAAAGAGTAAGGAACAAGTGCAGGGGTCAGGAGCATGCAAGGCTGAGCGCAGGAGTCAGAAGTATGTAAGGCGGGGGTCAGGAACAACGAGCATGCAAGCGCCGGGGTCAGTAGTATATAATGCAAAGTGCAGCGGTCCAGAACATGCAAGGCAGGGCGCAGTAACACGCAAGGCAGGGCGCAGTAACACGCAAGGCAGGGCGCAGTAACACGCAAGGCAGGGCGCCGTAACACGCAAGGCAGGGCGCAGTAACACGCAAGGCAGGGCGCAGGAACACGCAAGGCAGGGCGCAGGAACACGCAAGGCAGGGCGCAGGAACACGCAAGGCAGGGCGCAGGAACACGCAAGGCAGGGCGCAGGAACACGCAAGGCAGGGCGCAGGAACACGCAAGGCAGGGCGCAGGAACACGCAAGGCAGGGCGCAGGAACACGCAAGGCCGGGCGCAGGAACACGCAAGGCCGGGCGCAGGAACACGCAAGGCCGGGCGCAGGAACACGCAAGGCCGGGCGCAGGAACACGCAAGGCCGGGCGCAGGAACACGCAAGGCCGGGCGCAGGAACACGCAAGGCCGGGCTCAGGAACACGCAAGGCCGGGCGCAGGAACACGCAAGGCCGGGCGCAGGAACATGCCACCAGTATGTCTGAGGAAGAACGAAGGACACCCTGTGTCTACGGGCCATGGTGTTGGCTCGGTGATGCTCTGGCATTGGAAACCTGCAGCGTGAGGAAGGAAAGATGGAGTCATTGAGGCGTCAGGAGATCCGAGGAGAAGACGTCATGCCGCCTGTGAGGAAGCTGAAACGTCATTGGACCTTCTCAACAGGACAACCATCTCCAGTATACCTCAAACTCCACCATGGCTTGGATGCAGAAGAAGTCCTGGAAGGTTCTACAGCGGCCATCAGTCACCTGACTTGAACACCGTAGAGGATCTCTGGTGGGATTTGAAGAAGGAGGTTGCAGCATTCAAACCCAAGACTATGAGTGACCTGGAGGCCATTGGTCATGAGTAAGGGGCTGAGACTCCTCGGAAGATGGCGTCTGACCGATCTCAATGGCTTTTGTTTGA